TTACTAGGGATGGACGGGTCCCGAAATTTCGGGAATTTTTCGGGAAAAAAATATTCCCGATTATCGGGACGGGATTACATTTGATTCGGGAATTTTTCGGGACGGGATTTGGTCCGATCGTCGGCGATTTTGCCGCTTCGCGAGTGCCGATGACGCCGCTATTGCGAGCGATAGGTCCGCGAACGCAGGAGACGAAGTCATTTCGACGATCGCGCCGTGACCGCGGGGTCCTACCGACGATCGCGCCGTGAACGCGAGTCATACCGGCGATCACCCCGTGACCGCGGAGTCATACCGGCGATCACCCCGTGACCGCGGAGTCATACCGACGATCACGACGTGACCGTGGAGTCATACCGACGATCGCAACGTGACCGCGAGTCATAACGAAGATCGCGCTGTGACCGTGATTATTGGACCAACGATCGCACCGTGACCGCGAGTCATACCGACGATCGCGTCGTGACCGCGGAGTCATGCCGACGATCGTGCCGTGACACGAGGCATACCGACGATCACGACGTGACCGTGGAGTCATACCGACGATCGCAACGTGACCGCGAGTTATAACGAAGATCGCGCTGTGACCGTGATTATTGGACCAACGATCGCACCGTGACCGCGAGTCATACCGACGATCGCGTCGTGACCGCGGAGTCATGCCGACCATCGCGCCGTGACCGCGAGTCATACCGACGATCGCGCCGTGACCGCGGAGTCATGCCGACGATCGCGCCGTGACCGCGGAGTCATGCCGACGATCGCGCCGTGACCGCGGAGTCATGCCGACGATCGCGCCGTGACCGCGGAGTCATGCCGACGATCGCGCCGTGACCGCGAGTCATACCGACGATCGCGCCGTGACCGCGGAGTCATGCCGACGATCGCGCCGTGACCGCGGAGTCATACCGACGATCGCGCCGTGACCGCGGAGTCATGCCGACGATCGCGCCGTGACCGCGGAGTCATGCCGACGATCGCGCCGTGACCGCGGAGTCATGCCGACGATCGCGCCGTGACCGTGAGTCATGCCGACGATCGCGCCGTGACCGCGAGTCATACTGACGATCGCGCCGTGACCGCGAGTCATACCGACGATCGCGCCGTGACCGCGGAGTCATGCCGACGATCGCGCCGTGACCGCGGAGTCATGCCGACGATCGCGCCGTGACCGCGGAGTCATGCCGACGATCGCGCCGTGACCGTGAGTCATACTGTCGATCATGCCGTGACCGCGAGTCATACCGACGATCATCCCGTGACCGCGAGTCATACCGACGATCGCACCGTGACCGTGAGTCACAAGTTTCTATAGGTACCTGTATATTGTTACCCATTTTTTTGGTTTTTATAGATCAGTACCACAAACGGTAAAAATTGATTTTGTATGTCTTTTTTTGGTAACTGCAATACTCAAGACTTTCTTTTTATGCACAGAAAAAATCCCGTCCCGTCCCGTCCCGAAAATTGGGAAGGAAATAAAATTCCCGTCCCGTCCCGTCCCGAACTAAAAATTCAATCCCGTCCATCCCTACTAATTACGTTGTATTTGGATTTTGGAATATTATATATATCAGACAAACAGGTCGTTCTAATGAGAAACAGTTTAATGAACACCTACCTGAGCATCAATTGAAAACACAACACTCTACGTTCACTGAACACCTGATTAATGAAAACACAACGTCAACAGCTGCAGTGATAGCATGGATATTTTACACAAAAGTACTAAAGGCTCCTAAATGAACGTCCTAGAAAGCTATGAAATCTACAAAGCAACAAAAAAAATATCCCAACAACATTTTAAATTAAAAGCTCAATTTTGGCCTTAATATAATATTTGACAGGATTGAGGATATAGATAACAAAGACCCAACCAATAATATTTACCAGCTGTTTCACCACCAGCGCGACCGACAGAGGGTTAAAAAAAGTTATTACTATATGACTTTTTGTTGTAAAATAATAATTTATCTGCTTCTTTAAATTACTCCTGTTCACTTATCTTTTGTTGCACTTCTATGAAAATAATTGTTGAACCAGTATCAAATGTAAAAAGATTAGATCCTGAATGAATGATGATTTTAGTGTTCTTAAATATGAATTTGTAGACAATATACTGTTGTTTTACAGTTATGCCTATCATATAACAGTTTTTAAAAACATTATTTAACCGAATTTGATTATAATATGTAAGTATATAGTTGAATTGTAATGTTGAATTTAAAAAAGAGACAAGACACTTCATAACGTATGTATTAAAGTTAGGGTATGTAGTCTAATCTAATCTTGCTTCAAAATATAATAATACCCTCACATGAAGTAAAAGTTACAATTTTAATCATGAGTACCCTCTTTTCATGACTGGGGAGAAACTGAAAAGCCAAAAACCGACAACCGAGAACCAATTAAAAACAAACCATAACCGAAACCGAACCGATAAAATGAGCAACCGACCAATAACTTATTTCAGTCCATAGTTGATATGCAGAAGGCTCCCAAATTATTGTTTTCAAAACATCACATTACATTTGAAGAAATTAAAATTGAAAATGAAATTAAAATGTGAATGAGGGTGCACAATAAGCTGTTTCAGCTGCGATGCAATCCCATGGTCACTTGTAAGCCTGGCCCTCTGTTGAAAAAAAAGATAATTAATCGGGGTTAATTCAAATTATATTTTAGATAGTTCAAAGTTTTTACGTGGAAAAAGACAATCAAAAATCAAACCAGGCAAGGAATTCCTGTAAAAAAAATTGTATCATTGTTCTGCGCTTTGAATCCCTCCTTGTCATCTCTTTAGGGAAGTGGTGCATGTCTAAATATAGCTTCAAGGTCGCACCCACCCCTTCCTCCTGCCATACTCGACTCACTGTGGCCAGAACTCCTTTCGAGGTCATTGCCCAACCAATCCCTCACTTCTATTGTTTTGCCTTTCTAGTGTTTCTATTCTGCCTTTTTGAAACATTAAATCTATTGCTTACACAACAGTACAGTAGGAGATACAATGGTGACGCAGCACCACAGTACTAGGAACCGGGAACCGTTTTCGGCCAAGAACCGAACCGAGAAATTGGAACCGACACATCACTAGTATAAAGCAGACCTCTGACCATTTAAACTAAACTAAAGATGTATTGAGTACAATTAGTTCTATTGTTAGGGACAGAAGAATGGAAAATTACAAAATGAAGTGGGAAGAGAATGATTTTTTAAAGTATAATAATAATATACTATGTATCTGAACTTTACAACAACAACCAGACCCAAATGCACAAGTTATTCTTAAATATCCCAAAAGCTAAAAAAGAAGCACCTACCTGCGACCAATCACATCTTTTTCAAATCTTTTTTGTTGTTGTTATGATGTGAGGTTGTGGTTGGTCTTGGAAGACCTGGGTCTTTAGTCTTTGTTTTTGGTGAAATAGAGTTGCTTGTGTTCATTGAGCTGGATTTTTTTGTCAACTTTTGTTTAATCAATAATGGCAGTTGCAAACTTTAAACAAGTCCAAACATTATAGCAACAGTGAAGCAAGGGATTTGAGTATTTGCAGAGAAGGTAAATGTACCAGGTGATAAAAGAGCATGAATAACCTATAGGAAAGCGATTGCTGGAAATACCATGACTAATGAGTAACCAGGTGAGGTAAGATCTAAGGAAGCTAAGAGCAGTAGCCCAGGACTCCTGGAAAAATTCACACATTTTCCCCGGTTTAACCGGTTGTCAATCCCGATCTTCAAGTGTACCTTTTTACTAGGGGAGATCAATGATATTGCCTAGTTTGAGTTAGAATTCAAATATAGGTAGTAAAAAAATAAATTTTATTCAATAACAGAGTACGTAAATGACCATTTTTTTTTTGTGACTGATTGAATATTAATTTTAGTTTTAATTTTGAATCTTGTAGTTATCTAAGAAATGACAATGTCATCTGCTTCACCAGCTTTGCTGGAAATGTGGAATAGATTATGGCAGTAAAGTGATATTATATCTAAATTTTTACGTAACCGTGGAAGGTGTTCACAGTTTTCGCATGCCGTGGAATATGTTCACAATTTTGCTGTGACAGTAGATGGTGTTTTTAATTTTGCCATACATGCTGAAGATATCCTCAATAATTAGGGATGGGTCAATTCCAAAAGTCGATTCTCAATTCCACCGATTCTCGGCTTTGGAATAAGGATCAAGAATCAACCTCTTAACACGTTCGCTGCTGACCGCTAGATGCCAGGTCGATTCCGATACCGATACCTGACTCGTTTGCAAAGTTCCGTGCATTTGGAAAATTACCACTAGTACCGCGATCGCGCAAGACAACAACGACGTTTCCAAGACGATGATAATGTCTATATGGTCGATGGACGTGCGAGACGATCAGAATTCAGCCGCGATCGAGGAAGACACCGATAATGCCTACACGACCACAGGAGAAGTTATGATTTTGCCGTGGCTGCGGGAGACAATGACGATGTCTACACAACCATAGGAAATGTTTTTAACATAATGGAAGTAATGGAACTAATAGAATCGAGAATTAAGAATACATTTCAAAGAATCGGAATCAAAACTGTCTGGAATCGCATCACTATCCTCAATTTTACCTTAACCAGAGAAGATGTCTTCAATTTTACTGTTACCACAGAAGATGCCATCGATTTTACTGTGACCGCGGATGGGAAAGAGTCCATCCTGGCACAAAATCACAAATCATTTTATAAAGTACTGTAAACAAATCATAAAAAATGTTCGACTATTATGAAGTTATATGTTTTCTTGGGCTCGAACAGACTTGTTCTTTTTTATGATTTAATTTCCAAAAGATTTTAATTTCCAAAAAATACAAATTTACAAACTCATCTCTCATTTAGAAAGACTGCTACCAACGAAGTTCACTTTACTCAAAAGTTATTTTTTAAGATATAACAACAATGATAACTTAGGCCAAAACAACTAAGTAAAAGTCAAGAGGTGCTAAATAACTAAACAATGAAATACCGACCCCTTGCATAGCAGCAGGAATAGTGATGATCTTCTGTACTGCCCCACCCAGCCTCTCAATGTAGTAGTTCCAGTCCAACACTTGTCGAATGTCTACGTTGTTTATGGAGTTATCTTTCAGCCATTTGCGAAGATAATGTCTCTTGACGCTTGGTTCTGCCTGGAATATCGCAAGTGGAATGGCTCTGAAAAAGGATTGTACGATTAATACTATAACAAAATATGAAAATAACACAACTTTCTTTTGGTTCAAATATAAATTTCTACATGATTAATTAGTGATAAGTCTATGCCCAATCTCAAACCAATGACTCTCAAAAATTCATGTTGATTAACTCTTCATGGGTGTCTTCAATTTTAAAACTCGATCAGTGGCACAAGGAGTTTTTTTTTTTTTTCGGGTATTAAAACATTAGACAAACAATGTAATTTTATAATGTATACATACAAAAACTATTAAAACCATGTATAGTTGATACAATTGTACATGGAATTAAAAAAAAAAAACTCTTACTTTACATATTTAAAAAAAATATATAGCAAACAAAAACAAAAACACCATAGGTGACACTCGGAACTACACTCCAGGAATCCACCGTGACACATAGAGCTGGTCTCCGTGTTACGCAACTCTTCAGGCTTCAACTGATTAACCCCACAGAGGTCACACTTAATTGAAAACCTGTGGAGACCCACATGGTCTTTCCGACCTGGTATATTAATAATATTTCATTATAAGCATTATATTTTAATTCCTGAAAAGCGTAAAAATAGTTTTAAGTGTTTAATTTAGAACCTTCTGAATATGGTAAAGATAACAAAACTAAAATTGACAGTTGTAATAAGACCATACACTTTGAATTGTTTTTTATTTGTTTTTTCAGGAAACAGTTTCTCATATAAATTAATTATGCCTCAGAAGTTTTCTTTTTATGTACCGTATCTATAAATGACAAATATATATGAAACAAACTGTGTAATAAACTATGAAAAATACATAGTTTACTAAAAGTAGTTCAGTTATAAATTATTTTAAATCACTGTCATTGTAAGGATAAAATTCCTTTTAAGTTTTACCATTACCATTACCATTACCAACTGGCGATCGTTGACCAGATGTCTGGATTGATCTTGTCAAATAAAATTTACTTTTAAGAATTAATAAACTAATATTTACAGTATAAAAATTGAAAAGGTGTCTTAGAAAATATCCTGCAAGCCTCACTAAACATGCAACATCTTCATGTCTCTCAACTCGATGAATCCTATTTTGCTTATTAGATTCCACGTCTAACCACTGAGAGGTACATAATACTTCACTGTGGCCCAGCACATGATTTAAGGACAATACTAATAAATTAAAACTGTATCCAATCAACAATTAAAAGTAAAATAAGCATTAATTTACTAAACACAAGGAGACGTACACGGTGTAAATGACCAGTACATGAATAAAAGCTCTCACTAGACTGAAATGAGGAGGTGGAGGAAGGCAAAAATTATTCACTGTGTTCCTGGAGTGTTGTGTATTATGCATATATATTTTTTACGCAAAAAAAGTATTAGCCAGGTAATTTTACAGCTATGCATTCTCTCGTGGGATAATAGGGGTTGTGCGGGGGAGGTGTGAGAGCAAAATAATGTTTAATCGGTTCACAGAAAGAGACACGTGATGTAATGTTACTCTTAAAACTGATGGCTGGCGATAACACAAATTTTTTCTATAAAAACAAATGCGCCCGGAGGAAAACTCTGTGGGGTCATCTATGAAGGGTTAAGGACATGATAAAAAATCATCATTACACTTGAGAGTTTAATAATTTAAGCATGTTTGAACAGTACAAGAAACCGTTAGAATCATAAGTTTAGGAATCTAATTTTTAACCATTGGGGATGGAATTAATGCACTGCCTGCAGCACCCTCTATCGGCAATTAATTTTACCGAATTTGTAGACTTTTACTCTAATTGGTATAGAAAGAAAACCTTAGGTAATAAATTAATAATTCTTACACGATTTTGTTCACAGTAAAATTGTCTACAAAAAAGTGGCAATTGGATAATCAGAGTGTAAAATTAAAAAACATAAGATTGTAAAGATTATAAAAATAAAATTTTTTCAAAGTAAACTTGATTTACAAATTCCAAGATTAATCTAAACACCAAATGACACTACTATTATAAAGATCAATTGATTCCCTACGTAGAAAAATCACAAGTTGTTTACTTTTATCCTATACTCTAATACAAGCAATGTTTGCTTGTATAAATGCTTCCTTGCTTGCAGAAAGATATCGAAAACGGCTCTGAAGATTTTCTTCAAATCTTGTAAATAGTTTATTTTTGGCATAAAAACGAGCTTCAAGCGGTTATAACTGCCAACAAAAATCTAATTCCGTAGAAAAACGAATCTGAAAGTCACATTTTTTTAACATTAGTCTTATGGGTTGCTAAGTAACCATGTTGGTTGAATTAAATAACAAGGAAAAAGTAAACAAAAGACTTGAAGTTGTAGCATGTGTTCATAATAAGCCAACTACCCACAGTTAGGGGTCTCAATCCCGGGCCTTCAATCCAATCCCGGGATTTCGGGATTCGTCTCAGCCGATCCCAGGATCCCGGGATCAATCCCGGGATTATATAATATTATGATTTAGCCATTTTAAATGAGCGAGAAGTCCCCTTGTTGAGTACTTTAATGTTTTAAACTGGCCTTACCAGTGTTACACTGCGCAATGTTTCCGTTTTCTAAGTAAATAAATATGACACGCGGAACTTTCATCGCCTGTATTTCTTATTTACAGTGTATAAATGTTGATAAGTTACTCTAGAATATAATAAATACATTTAAAAAAATCACGAGCAACCGCACTCGCACGTAACCTAGATACAATACGCTAATAGATAGATTAAAGATAGCTAAGAGAAAAAGATAAAATGGGAAGAATCACGAGTATCAGCGTAAAAATGTGATTCTGGCTGATAGCAATAAAACAATATAAGATACTGTAAAACAATAAACTATCTGCTTATGTAGTAGCGTGTGTTTGAAAAACTTAATTTTAGATTGTAAGAAATTTAATCACCACACATAACCAAATACGAAGATAAAGTTATAGACCCTAAATATAAGCAATATTAATAATGAGATTATAATCGTGTGTTTATAGTTATATTTTATGGCTACAATGAAAATAATACTTAAATTTCCGATTGCAATGTAATGTTTGCAACACAAATTGCGTTGTTTACGTTTAATGTCAAAAGTAAAATTTAAAATAACTTGTAGGGCTACTGTAATTAAGTTCTAACTAATGTAATAACATTTACAGATAGTAAATCCAAGTCGTCTAAAACTGAAACATATATTTAGGCCTACATTCGTTCGCCTATTGAGTTTAATGATAATTAAATTTTCCAATCAAAAAGATTATTACTTATACCATTTCATATAATCGTCCTAAAAATAAAGAGTATATGTGTTTCAAGTGTTATTGGACTATTTTTATTAGTTTTCCGTCAGTAAAAGTCTTCAAATTCACAAAAAAATCAATATAAACATAGGTTTTGCAATCCCGTTAATCCCGGGATGAAAAGTCACCAATCCCGGGATTTCTAGGTATCAAAAATTGGCCGGGATCCCGGGATTGAGACCCCTACCCACAGTATACTAGCAAATTACAAATACAGTACAAAAGGAAAAGCATCACTTGTTACTATTGAGCAAAGATTATACTGAAGATTGCTCGATACATTGTAGGCCTATTAAAGGCAAGCAGTACGAAGTGTGGGATCTGTTTATGACGATTATATTAAGGTTATCTGCAATCCTAAAATGCTATGTGAAGGGAGGAAAACAGGTCCGCGACGTAGGAAGTGGTGAAGGAAGTAGTCAAGCCGAGCTGTCCGGAGTGTGGGAACTGTTTATGACGATTAGATTAAGGTATCTGCAATCTTAAATGCAATGGGAAGGGAGGGAAACAGGTTTGCAACGTAGGAAGTGGTGAAGGAAGTACTAAAGGCGAGTAGTCTGGAGTGTGGGGACTGTTTATGATGATTAGATTTAGGTATTTGCAATCATAAAATGCTATGGGAAGGGAGGGAAACAGGTTCGTGACGTAGGAAGTGATGAAGGAAGTAGTAAAGGCAAGCCGTCCGGAGTGTGGGAACTGTTTGTGATGATTAGATAAGGGTATCGGCAATCCTAAAATGCTATGGGAAGGGAGGGAAACAGGTCCGTGACGTAGGAAGTGGTGAAGGAAGTAGTCAAGGCGAGCTGTCTGGAGTGTGGGAACTGTTTATGACGATTAGATTAAGGTATTTGCAATCCTAAAATGCTATGGGAATGGAGGGAACAGGTCCGCAAAGTAGGAAGTGGTGAAGGAAGTAGTCAAGGCAATTAGTCAGGAGTGTGGGAACTGTTTATGACGATTAGATTAAGGTATATGCAATCCTAAAATGCTACGGGGAGGGAAGAAAACAGGTCCGCGATGTAGGAAGTGGTGAAGGAAGTAGTCAAGGCGAGCTGGCCGGAGTGTGGGAACTGTTTATGACTATTAGATTAAGGTATTTTCAATCCTAAAATGCTATGGGAAGGGAGGGAAACAGGTCCGTGACGTAGGAAGTGGTGAAGGAAGTAGTCAAGCCGAGCTGTTCGGAGTGTGGGAACTGTTTATGACGATTAGATTAAGGTATCTGCAATCTTTAAATGCAATGGGAAGGGAGGAAAACAGGTTTGCTTCGTAGGGAGGGGTGAAGGAAGTAGTAATGCTAGCAGTGCAGAGTGTGGGAACTGTCTGTGGCAAGTACATTAATGTATCTGCAATCCTAACATACAATGGGAAGGGAGAGAAACAGGTCCATGATGGAGTGCTGAAGGAAGTAGTAAATGCGAGCAGTGTGGAGTTTGGGAATGGATTTATGTATCTGCAATACTAAGACTGCTTTTAGAGTAAACTAATGATTTTCCCCGAGCAAAGCTCGGTCCCCAGGTACTAAGTAATAACATAGAAAAAAAATTGTTTGTTTTACCTTACCGCAGCTGATTTTGGGTGATATCTGGTTTTCATGGCAACACAACCTTGTTTGTTATACGCAAAAATGAATGAGTAACAATGCAAAACAATAAGCAAGATATTTATAAACGTCATAAAAGATAGAAGAAACAAAAAGGGGGAAAAGTGATA